CGATAATCCGTTAGCTGTTAGAAAACTAACGAATAGCTAACTGATAACTAATGGCTTATCTCACGCTCTAACGGTTTGTTCAGACGCTCTAACAATTTGCTCTAACGCTCTAACGGATTGGTCTTACGATCTAACGGTTGATTCTAAACGTCTAACGGTCGGTCCGTCCAACGTAACAACGTTTGACGCTGACGAAGTCTTTAAATAAATATCGTCCTTCGGGAAAATCGATCGCAATTCTCAGTGCAATTCTCAACAGGTCCCTTGCTTCTCCGGGAATAAATTTTAGCGCATCGATTAATAATAATTTCTTGGTGTCGAACAAAATTATCGAGACTGCGGACTCGATTGCAGATTAGTCTGATAAAAATTTAGGCTAATCAAGAAAAAACGTCGTCTATCTCGGCGCTATATTTCTCGAGCTTCTTGTAAACAATTTTATGCAAAGTTCTGTTGACATTCAGTGAGCTCATCGCGACAAAGCATTGCGTGACGACCCAAATGAGAGCTTTGCTGTATTTTATTATTGACTTCTAATAAAGTACAGTTTAGGGCAAGCTGTATGTCCAAGAGACTTCTCGCCAAATCAACTTTTGCTCGAAAATGTTAACGATCTTTTTCCTTTTTGTGGAGGAGACTTTCGATCACGTGCTGGCAACAAAGTACATCATGTTTCACTATGTTCATTTCTGAACAGGAAATATGGGGGACATATTAAATTCTGCAAGTGCTGATCGTACTTCGTGAAAATTAACTCTGCAAACATCAACACGACACCGAAAGAACTCAAAACAGAGCGGGATTGTAGCCATAGACAGCTGTTTCGCCCTTTTTGGGGCTCGTCAGTATGGCGCAACAACCAGAGAAAGCTCTGATTTTAAGCCCTGACCCAGAACTCTCAACACCCACAGAATCACGCCATACCACGTGTCTTCTGTGGGGCAAGTGTCCATAAAAAACATGGACAGAACCATGCAAGAATTACAGTATATCGCATCTACTTTATGAAATATGGGACGTAGAATGAATGTTTGCATATTATTTTGTTCTTTCATAACCCAAATAACTTTTTTTTTTGTAATTCCTGAAATTTGTTTAACTTCAAGCGTAATTTATTCAAAGTTAAAATTAATTAATTAGTTGACTTTTAGGTGATTTAACGATAAACTTTGTTTGTAAGATAGTTTTCTGTTTTTAGCAGATCCGTTTTGAAATTCGAGTATCTTCACATAGTTTTATGTTTTAAATGGATAGTTAACTTTGAAGTTATGCTGTAAATGTTGCATTTGAGATGAAACTGACTTAGACTAAACGTGTACACAGTGAAACAGTATCAGAAATCAAGTTTGGGACCGGAAGCCGAACTTTGTCTGTAAGTAGATTCGTTTTGAAATTCGAAAATGTTCACGTAGTTTCATTTCAATGAATAGTTCAAATTTGAAGTTATGCTGTAAATGTTTTCTTGAGATGATATAGACGCATTGTTCGCGCCTCTCGTGTTTCGCTGGACGGACTAATAAAAAGGGGAGACTGCCTATAGTCTATGAAGCGTGTTCTACCTGCGTAAGAAATACATATTGCCTTGTAAAAGATTACAAATAGGTCAAGGATTATAAAAACTTGTGTCTTAAGATGAGAACAGTTAATTTTAAGCGGTACACGGTCGATAATCTCTAAATGCGGCAAATTAAGGCCATGAAAAGGAAAATAGGACATTCCTGGGGGGTGGGGGTTATGCATGACCCCTCTGGAACGGATATTGCGAGGGGTTGAGGGGGTCTAATCGGAAGAACCATCGTAGAGGGGGTGAAGGGGGGGGGTATGAATATTTTCTGGAATCACACAACAAGGAAATAAATTGCTGCGAAAGTGGCAGAAAATAACTCTATGTCGCTGTAGCAACTCCTTAAGCATGAAGTATACCAAGTACGACCCCTTTTGCCAAAGGATGGCAGCGATCTGGAGGACTTCAATGCCCGTATATATACGGAATTGAATTGGACTCCATATCCACGAGATTGCAAAGAAAGAGATGCAAAAAATTCAGGAGAAATATTAAAAAAAGGCCAGCATTTGAAACAGACCCACACGCTAAAATTTAAAACTAGAAACAAATACAGTTTCGCTGAAAGAAGGGAAACATCTTGCATCAGGTTTTAGTAATACAACTTCCTTTATCGCTTCAACCAGGTTTTGCAGTTAAAGCTCCACTGATCACGGAAGGTCAAAACTTCCTCAATTAGCTTATTTTGGGACTCAGCGCTTAAACGAGCGTTAGTTTGATCACGTTCGTTCTTTTCTTCCTTAATTCTTTAGAAAATTTTAAAGAGCTTTAATTTTCTGGCTTGTGAGGACGTGCCCCAACTTACTAAAGCCCCTTATTATATCTGGTCGTTCTCGTCGTCTTCCGCCCCTGGAAAAATAGGTCTCCCAAGACCTAGACCGGAAAAAAAATTCGCAAAAAATTGCGTTACTTTCGATTCCCTCCAAATTTGGCCCACAGAAATTTAATAGATTTAGCCAATTATGTGCATAGTTTCAGCCCCCGGGAAGTTTTGAGCTTCACGCAACGATTTTTCCAAAAAATAAAACAATGACGCCCGAAGGTTTTGCCAAGATTAAGAATGAAAGCTTGTATCGACGTATTTCAACCAAATACAAGTCAAGCAAAATATTTTGAAGGATTCTGGAGGATAACAAGCAAAACAAACACGAAAATCGAGGTAAGAAAACAGTTTGAATCTTGCTTGCCGATCGCCGATTCGTCTCAATCTAAACGCAATGAATTCCTTCCCGCTTGCCCTTCGCTTAGCTTTTTGCCTTCAAATCCTTGCTTATTTTGATGAATTATATCAGCAAATTCATGTTTGCTTGTCTTTAACTCGATATTTCCATGGAAACCTTAAAAAACAGAGCGTCAAACACTTCAGCACGAGGGACGCCGAAGTATAGAATGTCATTATGCTAATTAGGATAAGCCGATTCTCATAATCTGATAGCATCACCAAACAAGTTTGTAGAAAATTCCAAGCCGCTCTATATCTTCAAACGATTTTCGGGCTGTTTGGCTAAGATATTGAAGAAAAGTATTTGTTTTTGCCATGTGACACAAAATAGACGAATTTCCTGGCCAAATGACATGCTTCATAAATTTTGAAAAATTTTTTATGCAGAAATATGCCTTGTTAATTTTTTTGCGGAGTAGAATGGGTTTCCTGGGATCGAAATATTTTTATTTCTGAAAATTTAATTTTTGCCCTTTCCAATGAGGTATAGCTTTATATGGAGCTGTAAATAACAACAGAGATATAATTAAAAAAAACAAAAAACAACAAAACAACTGATGTAAAATTTTATTGTGGGTGTGCAAGTAAGATGCCTTGCATCTTTTGTCTTGTGGCTTTTAGAAGCGAAAACGTTTCGCCTGTAACGTGTTGTGAACAAGAAGTTAAATACATATATTTTGGACAAGGAAGTGATATAATTCGCTCGCGTTGGGTGATCACTAGCTCGCCTCTTGTTGAGGCTCGTTAAAAAGTCTGGAAAGTCCCCGCGTCGACGCCGTATATATGTATGTGGACTGAGTCCGATGTTGGCTTTTGCACTTGCTCCAAAGGGTTATTTTCTCCATGTACGGCTTGGTTTTCACCTCTCTTCGAAAAACGTCATTCTCAAATTCCAGTTTTGTCCGGAATGCCGAAGACCCACAACTTAAGATGTGCTAACATGAAGTTTAATTTGATTTAATCTAATTGGTATAATTTATTTTGTCCTGTGATTGTTGGAAACGAAAGATTTCGCTTCTTTTAGTTGAACAACAAATTTTTCGGGGAGTTCGATGGGCCGAGATGCCGCATCTTGGGCTTCTATTTAGACAGCAAGTGGTGCGAGAGTGACCCAATGCGCTCACAACTTAAGGGTACCTCTTCAATCACGTCAAGTTATGTCCAAAGGCTAATTTCCACTGTTATCCCCTTTATTGTTTTGGATTAAAGGAAAGTACGCCATACGACATACCACACCTGAAACATAAAGACGCTTCTAAACTTCTTGAAATCACGTTTTACCTCGCCAGCGACAAATATCCTGTCCCCACCCTACAGAGGTTATTAGCTACTTATGAGCAGTGGCGAGACTATAAAGAAGTGTAGCCAAAAAAATGCTTTTGCTGCAGTACACGATTAGAATATCATTTAAAATTAAACTCATACACTACCTACAATGACAGTAACCCGTTATTATTTCATCCACAAGGCCAGCAGTGTTTATTAACAGTTCTGCTTTAAACTTTTGAACCTCCAAGATTCGACGATTTAGTGTCAATGGGATCCAAGAAGTGTTTTCATACTCGTCTTTCCGAGTCTTCAGGGCACTAAGATACTTGTTTAAAGTCAACTAACGTGTGAAATAAACGATAAAGGAAGGTACGTAAGGGGAGCAGAATATTATGCTCTAAAATAGAAACAAGTAACAATAGAAGCAAGTGATAAACTGATAAACTGAACGGTTATACTCGAGCCCCTCTACCATCCTGTGAAATCCCCTCCCTCCACCCGTCAGATGAGGTTCATTTCTCGGAACGTAAGTTGGGCTCTCTTTGATCTCGTTTTAGCTGCCAGAGTAAACGGCTTAGGAGCTGAGGTATCGATTTTAAACTTCCTCATTCAGGCTTTACTTCCTCGTGAAAATTCAGCATAAAATGATGACTTGCTCCAAAGAAAGCCACACGTTCTTGGTGGAGTTTGGAAAACGTCTAAAACGCTGCAGTCAATACCCCTTACACCGGAAAGAGTAAAGATGAAGATGGTGAGTTTTATATACTGATTTAAAGTTACTGACATAGGTAAAATATTTTCTTATTCTATCATTTTGGTTCCAAGTAAATCAAAATAAAATCTAGAGCAATTTTTCTATAATGAAGAGAGGGAATAGTTCCCCCATGATATTGCTTTGCTTCGAAATTTTAATGTATGTTCTCCTTCATCTCCCGTCGTCCTTAGGGATTTTCTTCGGTTGCTGGAGCCTTTATATTGTTTACTTGCCTTTGTGAGATGCGAGCAGCAACGGTTCAAAAGGTATTTTAGTATTACCTGCTGTTATATTGTTTAGAACTGTTTGTTATACACCAACAATGCAACTGCAGTTATTTGCTTTAAGCTAGAGAATACCATAAGAAAGGTATCAAACTTTCGTCTCGTTAGTAGGCTATGACTTTTATCATAATTACTGCTCCAATTTGTTGGACCTGTAGGTTTGTTCAGTGTCGTATTAAAATAGTGACTGACGAAAGCCGATCAGTCACGACAGTCACCGTATTTAATCTTTTGCTGTTGTTACTATTTTATGGGCCAGGTCAAACGAAACTATCAAAGTAACTTTTTTGGCAAACAGTGAAGGTCACTTTGAATTGCTTATGACCTGCGAAAAAGAAAAATGATACCGCCAAAAACATTGAACCTACAGTCTCACTCAAAATTGTTGGGACACTTTACTGCCTTCAAGATTGCCCTTCCAATGTTGATGTACAAAATTCGGCGAGTTAACTAAGATAAACAACATCGAGAGGAAGAAGAGAGTTAGAAGAAAACAGCGTTCAGTGGAAGTGTCCCAACTATTTTCGTCTGCCTTCGCAGAGTCGAAGGTTCCGCAGAATTCGGGTCGCGTACTTGACCAGCCTGGGATGCCTGTGCCCGAGGAGATAAGTTTGTATGTAAATATTTCGTAGAGCGCTCAATTCATTTCATTGAAGAGCATAAACGATCGATGATTACTCCTGAAGCCTGAACTCCTGTGATTATTGATATGTTTGTATGTATGTATGTATATCACCGCATTAAGGCCGGGAGAAATCCTGTTCCGTATCAAAGCCACGTTTTTGGAAGCGACAAGTATAAATGCAAGTGAAGGTAAAAAATTCCCGTGAATTGGAGCGATACGTTTCTCAGAATATTTCAAGCAATTCCTGGAACTGTACGGTAAATAAAGTCGGTGTTTTGGCTAAATTTGTATTTAACCAGGCTTTGTTGTATTTATTTAATTGATAAATTGCTTTAGCTATGAAGAGCTTTTCTAGAAAGTGTGACAAGGTTTATTCTCCCTTGGTAGTAAACGTTTTATACACGACGGAAGCAAAGATTCAAAATGATTTGATACGCTCGCGAAGTGTTATGAACCAGTTTAATACTGAACTCGATTGGAAATTCACTCTTTCACGAACTCCATCGCTCGGGTGCTCTTAACTTTATCGTGGACAGGTTTCAGAGAAATAATGCGCTGATTTATTCTCACGGACTTTTACACAATGAAGGCTTGATGTAAACATTTATTGTGGTTCAAAGTTCAGTTTTTATCGATCGCCTTCGTGTGGTGTAGCGTTACATGTACAGTTATTTGACACGGTTAATGTCAAATATAAACAATCGAAATAAACTGCAACTGATTCAAATTATTTGAAATGTCATGCTTTACTCGCAGCATTTCACTTTCCATTGGAAACTACTAGTTTGATACTGCTAAAGATTACCAGGCCAATAGCTCATGCGCAGTCATGATACTTAGTGATTCAAACTGAACGGTTGCGAAAACAGCTGTGTACATGCAAACAGTTACTTAGGCTTTGTGCAAGTATCACTTTTGTTGTTTATGCTGAACACAGATCTTTGAAGTTCCCGAAATGCAGCGAAAAGTAACTACAGAAAAGTTTAAGCTTCATGTCACGGAAGGAGTGGCCAGGTTTGATGAGAACATTGAAATCAACGAGGAAAACGACATTGCATATATGAAAGTGCCTGCTCACAACGATCTGTCTGAGAGCGACAACTTGTACGACTTTAAAATGGTGAGAATTTCTTAGAAAATAATGGCCCTCTTGTCATGATTTTTCTAACACCTTAGAAATTAACTAGTAACAGCTGCCCTCGCTCTGTATGTTGGTCTAATAGTATTCTTGGTCGTTGTGTAGCTCTATATGTGAGATAATTAAAATTAAAACAGGAAACGCAAGATTCCACACACTGATTCAGTTCAATTTACATAGCTTTGATCAAAACATTTTTGCCCGGGTTTCGAGAAATTTTTAGTCCAAACCATAAGAAACGATTTGATTAGAAGTTGGAATTTTTTGCTATTTCTATTTCACTTTTTAGATGTAGTTCATTTTTATTAGCCGGAAAGTAAGCCTCAGAAACTAGAAGGTTTGATAAATTCACACTCGTGCGTTCTAGTCATTTTTTTTTTTTTACCGACAGTAGAACCTAGATAACTCGAACTCAGATAACTCGAATTCCCCACTAATTGGAACTAAATTTCCTTTCCCTTGATCAAAATTTCACTAAATTTACCCTGATAACTCATTCCTCGCTAACTCGAACTGTTTTTCGTTTCCCTTCATAGTTCGAGTTACCTGGATTCTACTGTATAAAACAATACTTGTCGGCGAATTTCTGTAATCGTCAATCATTCTGCTAGTGATTAGTTAGCCGTTGATTTAATCGTCTTGCTTATTTTTGGACTGAGTCTCATTCCTCCCAAGAGAGAGAAAGAGTGTCTGACAAAATCTTATTCAATGGGTCGCTATTAATGATCCTTTGCAACACGTCCCCTTGATGCGATTACTGCTCAGGTTCAGTCAGGCGACACTATCGCACTTCATGCAGTCTCCTGCCTTTCTTCTAAATACGCAAGCACAGAAACAGGTTTCTCTTCAGCTTTAAATATAGTACATATCCAGTTACACATGACATTATCTAAGAATTTTATTATAGCATGAATTAAGAAAAACGTTAGTTTCAATCGTGTTCGTAACCATTGTTTCGTTTTCTTTTAAATAACAGAATATTACAGTAAGTCGGGTGAAAAGTGATGGCGTTTGTCACATAACTCCACTACCCCAAGACTTGCCAAGACCAAACGTTTTATCAAGAGGGTTGAAAGCGGTAAGTAGTAAAAAAATTACATATTCGGCTTTTGTATGGTCAAACAAATTGTAAAGATTGAGGTCGGCCTCAGTCAATTACCCAGTGGGTAACAAACAACCTTCCAGATCTGAATAATTCTCATATCATGCGACAGCCGAATCAAATAATTGCTTTACTATTCAGTCAAAATAATTCGTACCATAAATTTCTAAAACTCGAGAAAGGCTAAAAATCGTTTAATTGATTTAAGATATTCAGAGTTTCTCCAATAGTGATAGTAATTTACCTACGATTTTTGGAGGTCATGTTTTCCACATTTTATTAGCAAGATATTGCGATTATTGTTTAAAATGGTCTCCTTAAAATCTCGGATATAAAAAAATAAGACAAAACGTCCCCTAGAATTTTTGTCCTCGAACTTTCGACTGGACCAACACAGGGTAGCTAACAGCTCAGGATGAGACGAAATAACCAACTAAAACTTTCCAGATGACCAAAATTCCCCCTAAGACATCCGTACATAGGAATAGTACTTCAGGCAGCTCCAAATTAACCAAACAGAGTTATAAAGTATTTGGGAACATTAGGTCCTTGGGTGCCCTGGATATTCTTCAAAAACAGTTGTCATTCATCCGCCAACTTGTAATTGCTGATTTTCTTCCTTTCCTTTTTGGCAGTAGTACGGTTCTTTTTCCGTTGCAAAAGACGGTGCGAAACTTTCCACAATTTTCTGTTACTTTACCAAATTTTTTCTGAGCTAACGAAACTTCGTCTCAAAGGCTTCACTGTTGCCAACCCTATTTCTGTCAATATCCTGTACTACTGACGTCATTGACACTGGAAATAACAAACGTCTTCCATATGTGGCCAACGCTACCTAGCGAGAGATTAGTCAGGGCATTTGAGCCAATCAGAAACGAAGAAATATTTTGAATGTAAAACAATTATTCTTAATATTTTTTTTTTGTCGTATTTCCTATAGCTGACTAATATGCCGCCGTCTCATAAGATCGTAAAGACCACTGAACAATGGAGAATTGGAGCCAGGGTAGAAAAATGGAGCTTGAGACGGGAGGTGCAAGAATTTTGTGGCCAGTTCCCAATCTACCGTTTGGAACCATTCACACCCGACACAGTTACTGTGGTGGACGACACCCGTGCTGGTAAGCCTGTTATTGTATATATTAAATACAGTAGGCTGATGTTAAAATGGTACACAAATGCACAAAGTAACGGTTTATTTGACTGGCAATTTAATGGAAAGGAATCTGTACAAGAAGGGTGTGGTTTCAAAAAACCGAAATCGAATCTTAAAAAATGAGTTACTTTTTTGAAATATCATAATGATTGTAATTCGTAACATATTTCCTTTTGATAATCTTTTCCACAGCGAGAAAAAGACGACAGAATGTAAGAGACTTTCCCCTCTGTAATAAAATCATCCCTGACCCGAACGCTTGCCATCCCAATCAGTGGTTATACACTTGCAAGATTCAAACAGCTCGGTGCGTGTATTACATAACCTGCTATTTGGATCAGGCAAATACAATTATAAAGTGCTCTGACCTTACTAATCACCGGTTCACTAGCTTGGTCTGCTGTGACCCAAGGTGCCCATGAATTGTTAAAATTTTAATAACTTGTGATTGCTATATTTCACTGCATGTGTAAGTTCTAAAGAGCAACAAAGTAATAAGGTATAACGAACAATAATTTAGCTGAAAATTTTAGAATGTAACTTGTAATTAATGTTTAATTTAAATTATCAGATTTAATACATTGACAAAATTTAATTATGCAAAATATAATTAAATTTAATTATGTTTAGAAATAATGATAAGTACAGTCGAAAGTCCATGTGCAGCCACCTCTCCCAGTAAGCAGCCAACGTTCAAAAATGCCATCGTTGTCCCAGTTTTTTTTCTTCATTTATTTTATTTTAATCACGCTGTTGTACTTAACAACAACAACAACAAAACATAATTACGTGATAAGGAATTAACAACAAAAAAAAAAAAAAAAAAAGAGGGAAGAGACGAAGTGTATATTACAATATTGGCTGTATAAGTTTATCAATGACATAATTTTTAAGAGTAAGTGCTTTGTTACGAAGTTTACAAGAATAAATGTAAAATCTCATAAATAATAGAGTGTAGTTTAATTTTGCTGTAAGGCGGCTATTGTTAGGCGAATTTTCGGAAAGTCCAAATAAAGATTCTTTCAATGAAGGGAGTAAGTTGGAGTTTTTCTTATAGAGTTGAACCACCTAATTACACTTTCCCTAAACGACTAGTGAATTGGTAGTTAACAAAGGTGTGGTCTGTGGAATCCTCTTCGATCACTGTGAGTCCTGTGTAATTCCAAAACGAAACACTTCTTGTTTGGTGAAACTATCCTATGTAAAAACTTAAATTGAAATTCTCTTAGCTTGTTCTCTTTGCAGATCTTTCTCGCTGATTTGAAGAATGTTTGCCATTCATTTAATTCTGTGTTAAGAGTTTTTTTTCCACTTCTCTGGCCCAGTTGGCAGTGGTATAGGATTACATTCGTTTAAAATCCAGAAGAACTCCTTAGTTTTAACTGTCCAAATTTAACTCGTGACCGTTTAACAGCTGGAATAATGAAGAACTGTCCAGAATTAATGTTTTTTTTAAAAAGGTCGTTCAGATTTTTTACTTTGATCAGAAGATACTGAGGAATGGCATTCAAAACCTCGTAAAAATTCAGCAAGTTGGTTTCCCCATTTAAAGCTCTCGAAATTTTAAACGGTGAACAGTCCCTCTAATCCGGGCCCTACCCCCGAATCCTTTGTAAGCGATTTTATAGGGCTTCATATCTGCTTAATACCCTATGATAGCCACGTGGTAGGGAGAAATTTTTACTGAAGGTTGAATACTGCTAGTTTTTAGTGAACCCGAAGTGAAATGTCAAGAGCGTCAAGAACCCGAAGTGATATCCAAGAGACCCGGGGGGAGACTGCATGTATTGAAATTGAAAGGGTATCAAGAATGTCGTTTTAGTATTACGGCGACATTCGCAGCAGAGACCATTTCCTTCCCACCATCATAAAAATGCACCAAATAATGTCTCTCAGTATTTCACTGTCGTTTTGTTCTTTTGTACATAATATGTAGAACCAAACATTGCCATATTCAGTTTGATATTTGGTCTTTTTTCTATTAATCTCATTCAATTAAGGTTAATCATGATTACTCCGACGTGATTTACTTATCAAGAAATGGATTGCAAACAAAATAGACTCTGATTGAGTTCGATTGTGTCCGATTTTGAGCTCCTGGGATGAGTGCATGTGTGTTAATACATGTACGGTGTTACTGTACAGTTAGCTGTAACTTGTGCGCTCTACGGCCTGAAAGTAGCTCTTATCAACAGTTATATTGCTACATTCCCTCTGAGTCTGACTAGGAAAAAATCATTTAAAAAATAAAACAAACAGAATTTTTGAAAGCGAAATGATCCTCACACTTGAATACTAGGGTTTTATTCTTACATGTATGTGTCATCCAAACCTCCAAACTTAACATTATACAAGAATTTGCTACTTGGAACAGTATAACTAAATTAGGTTGAGTCTGTGTTGGAGCTAAGTAAGCCCATTAGGCTGCACCTTATATCGTTTTTATAAAGCAAATAATTCCTTCTCCAAGTGCCCAAGAAGCAACGTGCTTTTCCATCAGACTGCAATAGAACATAAAATGATCCATTACCAGAAATTTAAGACAAAATGGCGGACGCCCAGACTCGACCCAGACCTTGTGCTCTCTAGGAATGGCCGCCGATCGTTATAGAGAAATGTATGGAGAAAATTGAAGAAGTGCAAATTTCAGATCTGAAGTAGCACACACGACATTTGCCGACCTCTAAATTTAAAGTGTTCGTACCATATCATTATTTACGGTAGTTTTGGTCTCTCGAAAGTTCGCCAACGGGCCGCAAACAACACATTTTACGAACGGCCGTTACGGTTCCTTGAGCTATCTAATTCTCTCAAAAACGCTTAGAGGTGCCTACCTTCTCTCCACATTTTAGAACATTTCGTTGATGTGAATCCTCAGTGCCGACCTCTCTAATCATCGATCGATGTTCAAACTTTAAAACGTGATAAAAACCGTCCTTGATCCATTTCCCAAATGGCCGCAAAATTTGCGATAAAAGAGGGAAAAATACATCCATTTCTGCGATAAAAGCGGTACAAAAAATACCACTTCGCTTATTATTCCTTGTGAAAAGTAAGGCTTCTGTCTCCAGTTTGTTTTGATCGCCATCTTTGGCTACAGGTAGGTACTTCATGTATGTTTTTACAGCAGAATATCGCTGGCAAAGTGTACTGTGGGCCCTGATTTTTGACAATTATTTTTACTCTGCCAAGTCACGCATGAAACGAACTTGTTTCTTCTCTCTAAAATCATCATTCGAACAGGAGTCCGGACTCTAATTTCCCCTTTTTCATTCTTCCTTGTACTGACTACCTCAAAAAAGAAATGAAATTGATTCAGATCCTTTGATAATGTGTCATTTCAGTCTTCGTTTTTTCTACGTACTGCTTTCAGCAACTACAGCAACTACAACAACTACAGCAACAAAAACAACTACAGAAACTACAGCAACTACGGTAACTACAGCAACTACAATAACTACACAACTACAGCAACTAAAGCAACTACAGAAACTACAGCAACTACAGCAACTACAACAACTACAGCAACTACACAACTACAGCAACTACAACAACTACAGAAACTACAGCAACTACAATAACTACACAACTACAGGAACTACACAACTACAGGAACTACACAAGTGCAGCAACTACAACAACTACAGTAACTACAAGAACTACAATAACTACACAACTACAACAACTACAAGAACTACAATAACTACACAACTACAGGAACTACACAACTACAGGAACTACAACAACTACAATAACTACAAGAACTACAATAACTACACAACTACAGCAACTACAATAACCACGGTAACTACAAGAACTACAATAACTACACCACTACAACAACTACAATAACTACAATAACTACACAACTACAGCAACTACAGCAACTACAACAACTACAGCAACTACAATAACTACACAACTACAGGAACTACAACAACTACAGAAACTACAGTAACTACAACAACTGCAGGAACTACACAACTACAGGAACTACAACAACTACAATAACTACAATAACTACACAACTACAGCAACTACAGCAACTACACAACTACAGCAACTACAGCAACTACAACAACTACAGCAACTACAATAACTACACAACTACAGGAACTACACAACTGCAACAACTACAACAACTACAATAACTACACAACTACAGGAACTACATAACTACAGCAACTACACAACTACAGCAACTACAATAACTACAAAACTACAGGAACTACAGCAACTACAGCAACTACAACAACTACAACAACTACAGCAACTACACAACTACAGCAACTACAACAACTACAGAAACTATAGCAACTACGGAAACTACAGCAACTACAGCAACTACAGAAACTACAGCAACTACAACAACTACACAACTACAACAACTACAGGAACTTCACAACTACACAACTACAGGAACTACACAATTAAAGGAACTACAGCAACTACAACAACTACAACCACTACAGCAACTACAGCAACTACAACAACTTCAGCAACTACAATAACTACACAACTACACAACTACAGGAACTACACAATTAAAGGAACTACAGCAACTACAACAACTACAACAACTACAACAACTACAGCAACTACAGCAACTACAGCAACTACAACAACTACAGCAACTACAATAACTACACAACTACAGCAACTACAGCAACTACAATAACTACACAACTACAGCAACTACAGCAACTACAGAAACTACAGCAACTACAGCAACTACAGCAACTACAACAACTACACAACTACAACAACTACAGGAACTACACAACTACAACAACTACAATAACTACAATAACTACACAACTACAGCAACTACAGCAACTACACAACTACAGCAACTACAGCAACTACAACAACTACAGCAACTACAATAACTACACAACTACAGGAACTACAACAACTACAGAAACTACAGTAACTACAACAACTACAGCAACTACAGGAACTACAGCAACTACAACATCTACAATAACTACACAACTACAGGAACTACACAACTACAGCAACTACACAACTACAGCAACTACAATAACTACACAACTACAGGAACTACAGCAACTAGAGCAACTACAACAACTACAACAACTACAGCAACTACACAACTACAGCAACTACAACAACTACAGAAACTATAGCAACTACGGAAACTACAGCAACTACAGCAACTACAGAAACTACAGCAACTACAGCAACTACAACAACTACACAACTACAACAACTACAGGAAATACACAACTACACAACTACAGGAACTACACAATTAAAGGAACTACAGCAACTACAACAACTACAACAACTACAGCAACTACAGCAACTACAACAACTACAGCAACTACAATAACTACACAACTACAGCAACTACAGCAACTACAATAACTACACAACTACAGCAACTACAGCAACTACAGAAACTACAGCAACTACAGCAACTACAACAACTACACAACTACAACAACTACAGGAACTACACAACTACACCAACTACAATAACTACACAACTACAGCAACTACACAACTACAGCAACTACAGCAACTACAACAACTACAGCAACTACAATAACTACACAACTACAGGAACTACAACAACTACAGAACTACAGTAACTACAACAACTACAGCAACTACAGGAACTACAACAACTACAACAACTACAATAACTACACAACTACAGGAACTACACAACTACAGGAACTACAACAACTACAATAACTACAATAACTACACAACTACAGCAACTACAGCAACTACACAACTACAGCAACTACAACAACTACAGCAACTACAATAACTACACAACTACAGGAACTACAACAACTACAGCAACTACACAGCTACAACAACTACACAACTACAACAACTACAGGAACTGCATTAACAACGGTAACTAACTATAATCAGTGTAATAGTATCGTATCTGTCACAACTTCCACATGTAGGGCCTTATATGTCTCAGGACATTATACGTAAGGCTTACATGAAGTATCGACCGCTTTCTTCATGCCGCCATCTTGATAATTTGAAACCGCGTGCCAACTACTTCGCGGGTGCAAAATGTCGCCGATTTCTGGTAATGCATGGCGTTACAAAAATTCGCACATGGGGCAAATCACCATTGCAACTTCAAACGCACAGCACTATGCGTTGAAAATGGGCCATTCCATTTAATGCCCACCCACTCCCCGCTCCTATTGAGCTACTTTTAGTTTACCCCTTCAGGAAAGAAAGATCAAGGTGCCGACACGTTCGTCCCTTCAGAAATTTCTAGCGATCGAAGGCAGCGACATAGCTACCCCCTCCCTCTCCCTCAAGAAATCTCGGTCCTTCATTGGGGCGGATGGAGGGGATTAAATGGAATGGCCCAATGCTTTGCACTATGACAAAAAAAACATTATCAACAAGCAAATTTTATGTAGATTTCAAAAACAATTTTTTCAAGGATCAAAAAAATGATACACACCTTCTATCTTAAGATGTTTTTGGCCTTGTCAAGTAGATCTTTGAGCTGAAACACTCCCGTTTTCAGTAGTTTTACCTCTAGAGAACACGTAAAACTTCATCGGATGCCATTTTTTTCACACATCATTTAAAGGCACAGCTCCCAAAGTACTGTGGGTAAAGGGCTTTTCTAGACGTAGCAAAGAGCTAAAAAGTGACCCTAGATTGTGTCCCTTACTAGCCATTTAAGAGACCTTAAGATACAAGGACGGGGAGCGAAGACGGCGACGGGGCTAGATGAATAAGACTAGGTCGAGCCTCGTCGTGCCCGCCAAAAACAAAATAACTAAGAGCAAGCACTTTTCACCTGGGACGGCAACGGTGATATTTCTTTCACGAACAAATATGTCGACCTTTAAAGACGCTAGGACCATTCTTCTGGAGAGCTACTTAGACGGTGTGATAGACGACGATGAATTTATCCTACAATATACAATGAAACCTTCTCAGTTCTCTCGCGCGAGGGTTATAGCGATCTCGAACTGCCCTTTTATAAACTTTGAGATAAACAGCTTCAATTTAATTCAAGTTTTCGGCGACCTCTTCCGATTTCTTTCATCTTGCAACTGTGCTCTTTTCTGTTCCAGTGAAGGGATCAACAACCATGATTTCCCGGCACGACATTTCATAGTGAAGAGAACTCCAGGACATTGGCGTCCTAAAAAAATTAGAATCCAATTCAAGCGGAATCTTTAGTTAAAAATGAAATTGCTTTTCAAATGAGCAAAAGGTAAACACCGGCCGACTGTCAGGAGGTTTAAGTCAAAGTAATCCTTACTGAACTCTTTTTTTACTCGATTACTCCAATGTAACTGGATCTAACTTAACGTCATGCACTTACACTGATTTACATCTCTTCACTGGGCACTCAGGAACATTCATGATCGCGACTGCAAAACACCAGCGACAAACAATGGACATTAATTATGGCCTTTTTTCCTCATTTGGAAATATTTCCGACAATTTTCGTGAAGAATATGATCTTAAGAAACACCAGGGTCAGCATATCTGAAAAGGGAATCAACTGCTTCTTATTGTGCGTAAAAACAAGCCGAGAATACTCACGTTTTCGAGACGACGGCAAAACAGGCTGAATGTCGTCCTCGACGAGACCAGGACGGCAAGAACGCGAGTTTGGGACTGGTGTGCGCATGCCTCTTTAAGCAAATTTACGTAGCGGTCGTAGCTTGTCCCGTCCTCATATCTTAAGGGGGTAAGGACAAAATATGGGTAGGCCATGGCCCACCCCATGGGGTAGGCCATGGGGTAGGCCATGGTGTGGGGGTGGTCAATTTTCTTATTTCTTTGATATTTAAAAGGGAAACTGCATATAAATAATATAAATAATATAATAAAATATAATAAATTTCTGCCATGAATTCCTCTCCAACACTAGATGAGTTGTTAATATTGAGTCACTTGCCGTGTCACGCACGTGTCATAAAGTAAGAGGTTGTTCGTGGTCTATTTCTAGTCAATTGTTACAAAGACGCCAAAAAATGGAATGTTGCGGAGTATTCGGAGTATTCTAAGATTAGAAAAAAACAAACAAACAAACGAAGCTGCGCGGCCTGAAGAGTCTGGGTACGACATTGAAAACCAGAGCGCTCATACCCATCTGGTCAGCGGTCTTTAATACCTACTTGCTCTTTTGCAAGGACAAAGTATCAGAGGAGATAAAGTTCAGGTAACATATATTGACAGATTAAATTTTGCAAACAGAATACTGCAGTGCTGATCGTACTACGCGAAAATGAAAACAGCTGTCTATGGCTACAATCCCGCTCTGTTTTGAGTTCTTTCGGTGTCGTGTTGATGTCTTGCAAAGTTAATGTTCACGTTCTACGATCAGCATTGCAGTATTCCGCTTGCAGAACTAAATGTCTGTTTGTTATTTTTGCTGTTCAGGTCTTTATAGATCCTACGTTCTTTGGTATATTCGTTTGCGGTCCTTTGCAGTCCTTTGTGGATAGTGTTTGTACGTAACATATATTGTTCATTCTCTTTATACGCATTTTTGAAAGTGTTGATAAAATGAACAGACTAAAATACTACGATTTCTTTACATAACAGTACAAAATTACTGCTTTGGGTGAAGTTTACGCAAGTAATGTCCTCAGTGAAAATGATATAGCAGAGGCAGTAGTCCCGTGGGACGTAAGGAATTAACGAAAACAACCAGCCATATATTTTATTCATTTGTCATTAAACACAAATAAGTGAAAAATTGCAACAGGAACGAGGTACTTTGTCTTTTGCAGTTTGCGGTCACGTGACCTGCATGATGTTACTTTACATAATTTAGTGAAGATAGACATTCAAACACGTTCAAATTTGCAGAAACTTAACATGCTTGATCAAGCCTTTCCCTTAATAAATAACGGTCTACAGCATTCAATGTTTAGGGAATAGACATTCGAACACTTTCAAAGTTAAAACTTGGATTTCGCCCCACTAAACAATTGCGATACAGATGAAAATGCTTATTGTCAAAAGTTTTTTTCCAGTAGTTCTGCGTTTTAATCCAGACATAATCATGCTCTTTGTGGCGAAGACCCATTCTCTGATCTAGGTCGGCTTTCAGAAATGGATCCGGTCCGTCCTTAAGTTCGCCACCACATCCTGCGCATTTTCCCTTTAATTTCTAAAGTTAGTCGGTTTGGCCCTTCGAATTGTCATACGCAAATCGGAGGTTGAAATGGCGGCATATTCTTCGTTAGTTTGAGCGATGGCATCACCAAGGGTGCCTTTGCAGGCAGCCATGTTTGTCATCACATCAGGTGACTTGCTACGGTGCCTTATTGTCTGACTGGATTTCTTTTTCCCTGCAGCTCTGTTGACAGAGAATGTCGTCAAGGACGTCAAATTTTCTTTTCCTCGCCTGCTTTTCTTGAACCAGGAAATGAATTGAAACAAACAGTGACTAGCTGCAGCAGCTGCCACCGTGTGTGCACAAATTTTGCGTGACACAAACCCCAGGCATTCTTTGTCACAAGAGAAACCGGCTCCTACTCTTTTAACGATATGGGGCTTCGATGTGGAGGTGCTCCTGACAGAGAATGTGTCTTTGTCAAATCCTGTACGAATGCCATCGTCAGTTTGGAGACGGACAGCCTTATCTGCCAGAGCTTCCACATCTTTCTTTGCAAAAGTATCCAGCAGACCCTCCAAGCACTCCAGTATTGTACCGACCCTTACACCAAGGACGGGTTCTTTTCCCAGATTTCCCATGTCACTAGAACCTTCAAAGTCATCGTTGCCGCTACTAACATTTGAGGCAGGTGTGTTCAGCGTGTGCGGAAGGCCTGGTTTTGTGCGGTAACGGAGTACTTCCTGGTATCGTGTGGGGTCAACAAAAACTTTTACGGATTTCATGATGGTTTTACGCTCCTCCAGTGTGGCATCTAAAAACGCTCTCGGTTTTACATGGTCTCGATATTCTTCTTGTACTAAGTACGGACTATGAAGTCCCAGAAAGGCTCTGTTTACATCACTTCGTTGTTTGTCAACAAGTTCCTTTATATCATCCACGAATGTGCTCATGTCTTTCGCCTCAAAATTCTGCCAGCGCTTCATGACAGCATTTACAGACTCGGATACATTGTTGCACTGAACCTCATCACCAAACCCGGCTTCTCTGGATACCTTTGCTGACAAATGGTTCCATACTTCATCGGCTTTGTGTCTCACAAAATACGTTGCAAACTGCGGATCTCGCCTTGTATCCTTCTGCTCCAAGGTGTCCCACTTCTTTTTTAGCTCCTCAACTTTCGCCCAATATTCAGTTTTCTCCGACGCGTGGACAAGGCCTTCGGATCCAAATATGTCATTGACGATAACTTCAGTGGCAGCTTTCGACATCTGCAGCTTGGAGCATTTTTCTTTGATGTTCTGTTTCACGTGCAGTTTGCACAAGAATGAGACGGACCTCTAAAACTCCTGTCCCAACGCTTCACGAAGTGCTAACTCACCATCCGTGCAATATGCTTGTAAGTAGGCCTTCACTTCGGGTAAACGAACCGTTATTTTCTGAAACAATGTTATGTATGTTGCTTTGTCCTTAAGCATGCATAACATGACAGGGCCAAGAAGGACTGGACAAACGGGATGGATAGAGTTCTTTGTGTAAAGCGTTGTATTTCGATAAGAAGTAACCAGCACAAAAAAAGGCCCAAGCTGGAAAATGACATCTACATAGAGAATTGATTTGTGCCCATCAACATCATTACAGCAAAAGTTGGCAATGTCGTCTAACTGCTCATCAGTGAATAAGATGACCTTTGCAGAATCGTCATCCAAAGAATAAGCACGGATGAATTTTTCCCCATCTTGGGACTGTTCTTTCATTTTTTCTGTTATTTGAAATATGGGATCCATTACCTTCGGTGGTCGACACTCGCCCTTTAAGTACTTCACTTGTCGTTCGTTTCTAGGAAGCTGTTCAACAGAATTGCACTGTTCAAGTCCACCAACATCGTCTTCTATTTGCTCTACAACTCTCTTCAATGACTTCTCTTTTCCAGAGACAGTAGTCGCCATCTTTGACATGGTGCTTCTATAGGTCCTCAGATAGGGAATTGCACAGCCTCATTTTGCACTCCCATGAGGCTTTAACTGAATGCTGTGCTCTGGCGCTCCTTCGAAGTAATAACGCACAAAGACCAACTTGTGATGGCTTCCGTCGGGACGAACCACATTGACGATGGTCTTTCGCATCGAGTTATCACTCCTGTTCACAAATGTTCTACGAAAGACACTATGCTTAACGTCAGCGTAATCAGGCTGTTTTATCATCTTTGTGACATGGCCATTCTTTCGTCCTAGTTGGTACTTTTTGACTGAAGTTTTGCTTTGATTCCAGGAACCAAGATCATCACAGAGTAAATCTTCTGGGTCCTAGAGCTGATCGAGATCCACCAGAAAACACGCGTTATTTTCGACATGGATTGGATGCGTTGTAGCGATTAAGCTGGAATGAGACTTCTCCGCGTTAAGTAGAAAAGGAACGACGCCATTGTTACTGAAATCATTCAAGATCGCAGGGGAAATCACAGGAAGCTGTCTATTTCCTTTGTAATACGAAAGGATATGGCTTTCCTGTTCGTCGCATGAACTGGAATCCGAAAGCTCTGAGCGACGTGCATACCTGGTGAAATAGAACACAAGCGTTTAATGTTAAGTGTGGAATATCAACGTTTCAAAAGTATTGGTGTCTGTTTATCATTCTTTCGGTCGACATGTTGTTTAAACTGGATTGTTTGATCAAACAGGCAAGCACTATTGGTGAACATACCGTTTTGTGTCATTACCAGCAGGGTCTTCATCACCGCGGCTTCTGGTACTGCCGTCGCTTCTGCTACTGTGCGGAAATAAAAATGATAGTCAGTGTTATCAATTGACCAGCAATAGGTTTCTTTCCTCTTGACAAATGCTACAAAATCTAAAATCTTGCAAAAGAAAGTGTTAAGAATTTGGCACTTTCTTACCCAAAGGAACCCGGGCTGCGAATGTGGCATCGTTGTTACCCCTACCCCACCCCACTCTGATCAAACTTATCGCTCTTAAACAAATTAATTTACGGGAATACTATATTTGCCTGCCGGTATACCATAAATATGAACAGTATCTTTGGTTTATATGCTTTTGATAATATATAGATTTAGCCACGGCTAAGAGCGAGGCTCTCATTAATAAATTTATAATTTAAATCAAACAATAAACTTGTATTCCACAATTCAGTTAACTTTAGAGCACATTCGTGTGACTTTTCAGGGAAAGGCTAAGCGATTTTACAAAAAATAATTTGCAAACAGCCCAAAAGTGAACCAAATCTCACATCGAGTTGATAGCCTCATAAGTACATCCAAAAACTGGCAATCATCTTCGATCACATTTATTAAGAGCCATAATGGCTCTTGATCACTGTAGATTAATTAGGCCTGGAAAAAAAATTCCGGCCGATTTTTTTGCGTTCGACAAGTTTATTTTACAAAATCTTGCCAACAAATCTGGGTGCGTGTAAACCAACCTTTTATAACATTTATACGTCACATCTGAGGTGAAACAGTACTATGAGGCACCGTTTTTATCATACAGACCTCGGACAACAGAATGTAGTATTTCACAATATTGCGATACAAATTGCTATTTAGGACGATCGAAGCAAGCGTGGGCTTTAGCCGTAAACCGTTGAAAAAATTTTCAAAATCATCTATACGGCCAGCCGGTTCTGACTTTTACAGTGCTAGCAGTGGCGAGTGTTTGAATGAGCATTAACAGAGTTACGCTCCAACATAATAAAGAATTTATTATGTTTATTTTTTATTTTAAAACGGTTTAACGCGCGGCATTTTGAGTACTCCGGGAAGCGTTGTTTGCTGAACGACTGAAAACAATCGGCACAACGATTAAAATTACAAGAGAAAGTACTAAAAATCAATAAAAGAAATATAATTCGGTGAAACATATACAGAGACGACAATTTTCATTCAGGAAGACAAGTATTAAAGTGTCTCTAAAAATCCTGAGTCTTCGAGCTTAGAGCTGAAGTTTATGTTTTAAGCCGGCTTCACGGTGTTTGCTTTTTTCAAAGACGAACTCGAGGCAAGAAAATCGCTCTAACCTTTCTTTTATAGCCAGAATTATAACTAAATATTTTTTGAAACGTTTTCTTTCTATTTGCGGTGAGAAAATGTCTAAAGGCTTTTTAAAGATCTGTAAGCTTATAACAAGCCTGATACTCGGTCAGATCATTGTCTCAAATCTTACAAACGTGCGTAAACAAAATAGCCGCATAAACTACGCTCGACTTCATTAAATTGGGAATAAAAAACATGCCATCCGAAAACGGATTTCCGACTTTGACTCAACCAAAAACCCAATAAACAAACTAGCCATGAATAACAGAAGACTCCTGATAGCAGCTGAATTTCATTTTGTACATCCAGTGGAAAAAGAAAGTTAAAAACATCACAAGTTGACACAAAACTCTGTCAGCTTCAGCTGTCAAAGTAAACAAGATTCAAGATGCTGCCTAAATTTTCCGCATGAATTCACCTGTCAAATTTTGACCAATCAGAGCGTAAAAATTGGACGTAGAGCGTGACCAACGCGTGAACATGGCGAGAAAAGTCAAAAGCAACTGTCTTCCCTGCCTGTAGCAGCTGGCTAAATTTTCGCGTCCGAGGTCAGTTTGAAATCAAAATTTTAATTGTGCGGCACCCTGTGCGGCATATAAACAACATATTTCATATGAATTTAAAAAAAAATTAAACTTGAGCCTGCGATCATTTGAAAACCAGTACCTTGTCAGCGGATAACTTCAAATTAACACTTGACCTCGATGGGTCAACACCTGAGCCCGCGATACAGTCAAGTGATACTGGTCAGCGGATACCTTGTTTTGACAGCTGTCAATGGATCACAACATTGACGTGTATCAGTTTTCCTGTGCTCCGATCCCAAACTAGCTAGAAAGTATGAGACTGAACATTGATCGCGATCTAGTAAAATAATTAACTGGTCAGCGGACAGCTTCCAAATAAATCACGTCACCTCAATGAGTTGACACATGAGCCCGCGATATGGTCATGGGATACTGGTCAGTGGCTATCCTGTTTTGACAGCTGTCAATTGACCATATTGTGAATGTCCAATGTAAAAGATGTGGACTTAGCAAGACACGCCTGAGACACCCCTCCCTTCCTTTTGATAGTCTCCCCTACCCCACCCGTAAAATCCGTAGACGCGTACGTACGTAGGCTCGGTCAATCACGTGACAACCAAAGGAAAAGAGGTTGACCATAATCTATGGGTATGGGGCTACAATTAACCTGTAATAACATTAACAACTGTCAATAACAATTAACTTACAAATCGATTTAAAGAATTAAAACGACAAGTGAAGTACACGAATTCTTCCAGCAAGAAATAATGTGTTGCCTCCGAGCAGAGTCAGTTTCTTACCTTTGAATCTATTGTTTCCTTGTCTATATTTTCTTCTGAAAACAAATCAAACGTTTTCTGTAAACGAAAGGTAACCTACGTTTTCTGTTCAGTCTGTCGTTGTTCTTGTTCAGAATCATTGTCCTGATTTATATTGAAACAAGCATTGACACTTCTTTTGGACCTTTTATAAGGCACATTTGATTTGTAAACTGTTAAGTATATGTGTGCAATACCGAAATGACAGTTGCCTCTGTTGCTTATAAAACTGTAAGTCATTATTGTGGTTATAAGAGAAACAAAGATGTCAAAAGCACACCTGGCAGCAAGATTTTTTTCTGGTATTAAATGGGTGTAAATCACAATAAATCAACATGCTTCATAGTCTTCATGGTTGTCTATCTATTATGGGTAAATAATGACGAAACCATGTCATGCTATGTGCTATATTTCAGGAAAAAAACAAAGCAAAAATCTTCCTCTCATTAACTGGATTCCAAAAGCTATGGTCCAGTTTACCGATTCAAGATTATATTGAAAACAGGAAAGAATTAGAAAGTGTCTCCTTGGCCTCATCAACATCCAGATGTTTATAAAATTTACATTCTTATTAATGTACGGAGTGAAATAATTAGGAAACTATTCGGCCGAAACAACTACATGTACCTATAAATGTAAACATTGACCTGCATGTGTGACCTTTGGAATGTCACCTTTATACTTGTAAACACAATTTTCTTTCGGGCGCATGGGTTTTCCAAGCAAGCTGACTTCGTTTTCATAACTTCGCTTTTAAAAAATTCTTAACAGATATCTAAATCGCATGAAGGTTAAAGACGAACAAATGAAAGCAAAACCTTCTTATTGCATCAGCGTTATTTAATGAGAAGAGCGAAATTACAAACGTTAGCCTTTGA